ACATCAGGCAGAAAAGGAGCTTTGCAGGATCGGTTGTTCGATCATTATGGATTACTTGTGGCTGACAATGAGGACGGCGATGCTGATGAGGATGGTGTGAGTGTTCGTGGTTCTTCCAATTACCAAGAAGCGGTTCAATTTACTAGCTCGAGATTTACCCCACGCGATATTCAGGACAGTGTTTCATCATTTTCAGGCTCCGAAAGAAAGATGACGTTGCAATTACCGTGGGTTGGGATAATTTGCAGAAATTTATTTATGCCAAGCAACTTCTGATTGGTGCAGCCAAGCTTTATATCAAAAGTACAAGTGGAGTTAGGGGTTGGATTGAGCTGAAAAACGCGTTGAAGGTAGAATTCGGTAAAAAACTATGTTCGGCAGAAATACACAAAATGTTGCGCAAAAACAACCAAAAGAAACATGCATCGAATATCTTTATAGTTTAATGGAGATCAGCAAACCGATAAATCTTGATGAGGAAAGTCTAGTATCGTACTTCATAAATGGCATCCCAGATAGCAAGGTCAACAAGGCAGGGTTGTATCGAGCGAAAGCCATTAGGGAACTTACGAAAAGATAAGAAAGCTGCGAAGGGACTCTTTTACAAAAAGATGAAAGCTGAGGGAGTGACATTCATAGCAATGATTGATTCGGGATGTGATCTGTGTTGGATGAGAGAGGACATTTTCAAAAGTTTTGACGGCTTGAAGCTAAAGCCAAAAGTTAAGCACCTAAGAGGTATCGGCAAGGGCGAACTTGTGACCGTAGGATGCTTCGACGTCGATCTTGAAGCAGGTGGCGTATGCTTCTCAGTAACTTTCCATGTCGCTAAACAGAATGTACTCGAGTACGCTGCGGTCGACGAGACTTTGCATCGACATTTAATGGAATGTGTGTCACGGAGATAGTCGAGGAAAGTTCTGCCCTTGATAAAATTAATTTATCTCACCTAGACGACAGCCAAAAGCTAAAGGTACAGCAGCTTGTTTCAGAGTACAAGCCAATAAAATCGATAGAGATTTGAGAATCGTTTTGGAAGACGACATTCCTGTATATCAACGCCCCAGGCGCACGTCATACGATAACAAGTGTTTCATAGAGAAGCAATTGCAGGAATGGTTGGCAGAGGGAATTATTGTACCCAGCTCCTCAGAGTATGCTTCGCCAGTGGTCCTGGTAGCTAAGAAGGACGGATCCAGATGATTTTTTTGCGATCGTCGACTCAATCAAAAAATGAAGGACAATTTTCCGATGAGTCTAATTGACGATGTTCTCAACAACAATTCTCCTGCTTTTTTCTGCCGATATGTGACGGTTACATTGAGGGATCTCATTCAAGCGCAAACGATCTTTGTCTATATGGACGATATAATCGTGCCAAGTAAGAACGATTATGAAGGACTGAAGGCGTTGGAGAGTGTAGCTTCGGCGCTTCATTAAAGACTACGCCCTCACAGCAAAACCCTTAAGCGACCTTCTTCGGATGAAAAGCAACAAAGAGGATGACAAAAATCTCACGTTGACAGAGCAAGGATTACTTTCGTTTAACCTCTTGAAACAGCTACTAGTGTCAGCACCAGTTCTCAAACTGTTCGATCCGATAGCTAAAACCGAAGTACATACAGATGAAAGCAAGTATGGCTTTGGAGGCATTTTAATGCAGAGAGACTCGGAGGATCAGCAGTTTCGTCCTGTAGAGTTTATGAGCAGGATGACAAACGGTTGTGAAGAAAAGTACAGTTCCTACCAGCTCGAGTTTTTAGCAATCGTAAATGCGTTGAAAAAATGGCGAGTTTACCTCCTTGGTAGGCTTTTTACCGTGATGAAGGATGACCTACCACCAAGAGTTGCAAAATGGGCCATGGCAAGAGTTTGAATTTAAGGTAGAAGGGAAGAAGACTCGCGATATTCTGGAAAAGTCGTATTATTTCCCTGGAATTCAACAAAAGGTAGAACGAGTTGTCAAAGGATGCGTGGATTTCCTGATCGTCGACTCCAAGCGTGGAAAAAAGGAAGGGTTACTCAGTCCCATTGACAAGGCTCAGGAACCTCTCGGAACCTATCACATAGACCACGTTCGACCCCTCACCGACACGAAGAAACGCTATATCCACATTTTGGCTGTCGTGGATGGATTTTCCAAGTTTGTTTGGCTTTATCCAACAAAGTCGACTGGAACCGAAGAAGTCTTAGAAAAACTGGAAAAGCAAGCAGCAGTATTCGGCAATCCTCGCCGCGTAGTTACTGACAGGGGCACCGCTTTTACTTCAGGACTCTTTAATGAGTACTGCAACCGTGAAGGAATCCAGCTTCTACACATCACCACAGGCGTATCCAGAGGTAACGGCCAAGTGAAAAGAATTAACAAAATTTTCATCCCGATGATCAGCAATATGTGCAGGAAAACCCTCTGAATTGGTACCGTCACGTAGATAGAGTTCAGCAGATAATTAACAACACTCCACCTCGAACAACTACACTGGTCGGCATAAGTATTTTGACAAAACAAAAGTTAAATATACTCATAATTTGAACTTACTTCTTTTAAACTTTTCAATAAATACTGAATGGGTTAAGAGATGTATTGTATCATTCAAACGGCATTTAAATTACCTTTCCATTGATGCCAAAAGTTTACAAGAAGAAAGTTCAAATTATGAGTAGTTCAAATACAGTCCGTTCCAAATCTTGACCGGATTAAACATAAGAAAGAGGGACGACGAATTCTCGAAACTTTTTGAAAACTTAAAATTAAAAGAACTAAATGACGAGCGTGAAGATATACGAAAGAAAGCTCAGCAAAATATAGAGATAGTCCAGCAAGAAAACAGAAGGAGTTTTAACAAAAAAAGGAAGGTAGAAATTGAATATGCTTTAGGTGAATTGGTTGCCATAAAAAGAACACAGTATGGAACTGAAATGAAACTCCGTCCAAAATTCTTCGGCCCATATAAAGTAACTAAAAAACTTAATCACGGGCGCTATGTAGTAAAGAAAGAAGGCAATCAGGAGGGACCAAATATTACTACGACAGCAGCCGAATATATGAAAAAATGGAGTTCATTCAGGGGCGAATGAAGATTCAGTATAGCCGATTTTGAGGGACTTACAGCAGCCTATTTAATGTCATATGGGGACACACTGTTCAGATTTCCACAACCTCATAGCATACTTCATCCGCCAAAAAAAAGCAAAACAGTTTTATCCCTTTTCATCAAAGTGATCCATAACCCTCTTTCACTAGAAATGACGCCATATAAATTTAAGTAAGTCAGTTGATGTGGATATTTTGTCAGAGGAAGTCGTGTCATCCATAGAGTGCGAAAGTCGTGGAGTTTAAATAAATAACCTTTGTTTCTTTAATTTACTTAACTATACCCGAAATAAACATTTTAATTTGTAATACCTTTCACAAATCATGCCAGAAAGGCGTACAAAGTATTTCGAAATACCTTTCTAACGACTTATAGCGCAAGCTTATTGCTTTTTCACAAGTTACGTGTGTACGAAATTTAGCTATTCATAGCTGTATTTCAAAAAACTTAAATAACGTTCTGGGACAAACTGACAAACAAAATACAATTTTCATTTTGCGAATTCTCCCAAAAAGTCGAGGCACTCGACTATCAAATACTCGTTACTCAGTTAAAGGGACCAAGGGGAGATGAAGATGTGCAAGCAGCAAAGCGAGATTGTAATGCGCCAGCTACCTGCGATCTCAATACATGGTTATGTGGGTGGCAGACAGATTTAAGCCCTATGGGCGTTAGAGTGGGCGTGGTATTGCAAAAACTAAAAGGATTGCATTCCAAGACTTAAAAAGAAACCATTAATTTGGGAGAAAGAGCGGCAAAAGTGTAAAAGTGAAAATTTAGAAAATTTGATCTTTTGGGGCCGGTGGGGATAAATACCCCCAGCTATAAACATACTTGTATTTTTACTTAAAATACGCGTCGAATGACACCTAAGCAACGCGTCACCAACACCTCAGAAATCTATAAATAGCTAAAAATAAAAATAGCTAGATACATTTTGTACACCCGTAACTTGTGAACTACTAAAGCTACGGGCTTGCGCTATATGTCGTTAGAAATGTATTTTAAAGTACTTTGTACGTTTTTCTAAAATAATTTTTCTTCTCAAAAACGGCGTTAACGATTTCAAATTTAACGGGAAAACAGCTATATATAGCTAAATTTCGTACACCCGAAACTTGTGAATTTTTAATGCTACATGTGCTGTATGTCGTTAGAAAGGTACTTTAAAATCTAAATGCCATCGTTTAAAAATTAAGGAAAAACTTTTTTTATCTCTATTTTTTAGTTATTTTTTTATTTTTTAAGATTCTTCAACTTTGGACAACATTGAATTATAAATTTATTTATTTTAGGGTCATGGAATCATTTAGAAACTTGAACTCTACGGCTTTTCGAAATGTTAATTATATGATTGATGCTTTAGTCAAAAACTCTCTCTGACGAAGCGGAAGTTTGTTTTTAAGCGGGGTGCCACGCCCACTTAAACGCCTTTAACGCTAAAACCTTTATAGCACAAACATTTTTGTTCTTTGTATGAAAAGTAAACGAGATTATGTTTTGTTCAAATCGGACCACCCATTAAAAAGTTATACCCAAATAAGGAAATTGACCCTAGGTGTCACATTGGCGTTGTGTACAATATTGGGAACATTTACATACATACCTCCATCTCCCGTTCTTTGTTTTGTTTATCAATATATTTCTACCTATCTACAAACTGTTATGTTTCGTTGGAGCAAACAAGTGGCGATTACCATACTCGGTAATTTGCTCCAACGAAAAAGTTGCTTTTCTGCTCGCAAATCTCCATCTCCCTTTCGTTCCCTTTAGCTGAGTATCGGGTATCTGATAGTCGGAACTCGACTATACAGTTCTTCCTTGTTTTGTTGTCCATTCGAAAGCATAAGAACTACAGAAATCACTAATAACTGTGCAAAGTCCAGTTGGCTTTTCTGAACTCACCTTGTTCAGTACGAAATGCAGAACGGCTGCTTTGCTACGGCAGCTGAGCACGTAGTTGTCACGCTGGGAGGCGCAATCGCGTACCAGGAAGTCTCCCTCGCGCTCTACAATGTCCTCCGCGCGCTGGCGGGGCAGGGCTCCGTGGTACCACGCGTAGGAACGTAGTTCGCGGGTGTCCAGGCTCAGCTCCCATTCAAGTGCCCTCTTCAGGGCAATGGCCTCCTGTTGCTCACTGGGACTGGGCTGTGCGGTGGCCAGCGGGGTGGAAGCGTTGCTTCTGCCGTAGCTCTCCATCTTACCGTTTTTAATGGCCCAATGGGGACTGTTGCACTTGACCGCGGTACTCAGTTCCTCGTAGCAGGATGGGAGTTAAATTCCCTTATTTTGGGTAATTTTGTTTTAACACAGGCTATTCCTCTCGCAAGCGGCTCGAGAGAAATTAGCTCCCACACGATTTGCTCTTTTATAGATGAACAACTGTATGTGTAAAATTTAAGTGTTAAACTCAAGTTGTGTTACTAATTTTTTACGAAAATTAATTTCGCTTTAGGGTTTTAGGGTTTTTTGAAAGTTTTAGAGTTATTTATCACGCAGCTGGCCTTATAACAGGAGAGCACTTTTCAGTCCTGTCGTAATGTAAGTAGTCTGATCTCTTTGTCGCTCAAATATGCTTTAACAAGTTTACGACAATAACCTCGAGTGTGGTGTACATTTAGGGGTTGCTCACTGCTCCCTCCTGCACATTACTGCGCGCTGTTTGTTTCGGGTTTTGCTTTCACGATAGTTTCAAGTCCTTTTATGGAAAATTTGGAGCATGCGCGAGCTATATGTTATTGATTTCTACGCAATGGAAAAGGAAATCTTGTGGATGTTGTCTATCGTAACTTACTAGTACTGAAATGTAATTTTTGGAAATCAAATTATACTCTTCCGCAGAAATGTAGCTTTCATGACGTAAGCGAAAGATGTTTACTCCGTTATGAAAGGAAACAACACATGTACATATGTGAAATTTAACCGACAAAACAAGGAAAATCAAAAAAGGAAGTTAACTTCGGCATGCCGAAGTTTGTATACCCTTGCAGTTATGAGAAATAACCAATGTTAGTAACACCATGTTAAATTTTTAAGGGTTGTTGCTAGCTTCAGTGATATTAAAAAAAAATAATTATTTCCCAATAAATATTCCCAATAGTGTTAGACAATATGTCAAAAAACTCCGAAGCTATAATTTGATTCATATTATTTTTCCACCAATTTTCCGATCGTTCCTATGGCAGCTGTATGATATAGTCGTCCGATTTTGATAAAATTAAATTCGAAACTCAGAACTAATTAAAAAATGTTATTTCCATAATATTATATGTTTAAAAACACCAATGATATATTAAAAAAAAAATTTTCGAATATTCCTATGGGAGCTATAAGATATAAGGTATATTAGATCCGACTTATATACTACCTGCAAAAGAACGAAGACTTTTGGGAAAGTTTCCGCCCGATAGCTTTAAAACTGAAAGACTAGTTTGCGTAGAAACGGACGGACAGACGGACAGACTTACATAGCTAGATCGACTCGACTAGTGATGCTGATCAAGAATATATATACTTTATAGGGTTGCAAACTTCTGATTGAAATCATAATACCGTTTGCAAGGGTATAAAAAGTGCCCTGACTACACTGAAATAATTTATAATGTAAAGGATAATGGTAGTTCCTGGTAAAAAAAAGTCAAAAATATTTTATAGATATTTTAGTTATGTTTTTTAAAGAAAATTTGTTGGTATGTCCGTGTTTTTAATTGTATCCCGAGTTGCGCTTAAGCCATTTAGGTGATATATCTCTTAGTTTACAGTAGGGATGTCGAAAATATATCAGGATATCGATATATCGATTGTATTTTTCAAAAAATGTATTATCATAGCGATATTTTTTTGGGCCGACACATTGAATTCGATATTATTTGTAAATAATATTTAGGTCCTATTTAATTGTTGGTCACTTTAAAGCCTTTGCCAACCCCGACAAAACGCAAAAATTAGCGCAAAAAAGTTTTTCACTGAGTTTACAATGAACTCAGCAAAGTGCACATCGTGTTGTAAAATAATTAATACTAGTGGAAACACATCCAACTTTACATCGCAATCGAAAAATAAACACCTAGATGACCGGTGTCGTTTCCAAACTCGTGATTATTGCATACAAATGTATAAAGAACTTAAGCTTTAATATTAGCATTCCTGTATTTAATAAAAAATGTAAAATTAATTTGATACAATTTTTCGATTTTTTAAATTTTTTCATAACATGTTTGTTAAAGCAACCCAGTCGTACCGTCAAGCATGTAGTGCTTGATTCCATAATAATTTCCATAGGAAAAATTTAGGGGTTGGCACCACGTAAACTTTTTCAGGGGGTTTCAGTGCCATTTTTTTCAACGAAGCGTTCGCTGCTCGTGTACATAGGAAATTCCATAGGACAAGTTCAGGGGGAAATATTGCCTTAGAGGCGAGCACAAAGAAAATTATTTTTAAAACAAACTTATATATATAAATATGTTCTCCCCGAACATTTAAAACCTAATCAAAAGGTAAAAACTTAGTTAACGTTGCTTGTGAAACAAAATAAATTTTTACCTATACTTAAATATGTCAAAATATATAAACATTAGCAGATTGTAACTCTTAAATTGTCCAAATAATAATGATTAAAATTAATAATAGTGTGTGACGTACAATGACCTTTAAAAGCATGTAAATAAATATATTCTAATGCAAAAAGTAAGTAAAAAAATATTGGTACAAATTTCGATATCTAAAATATACATATATCGAAATCGAAATTTAAAAAACAAAGTAATTTATTGCGTACTATCTTAAAATAATGATAAGTATATTGAAAAATTGGTAGAGATTTAGTTGTAGGTTTAAGAATCGTAATTTAAAACAAATTTTAGTTTTTAAAAATCAAAAAGGAAACACTAAATTGCAACTCAGGGATGCAACAATGCTATCGAATGCACATGCCATTAACTGTAGTAAGATCTATATAAATGTTAATAAAACTAGATTTGTGTTACTGGCGGAGCCTGCCACAGTAGCGAGTGTGGCCGTTGTTATACCCGCTACTTGTAGAGTAAAAGGTTATACCAGATTAGTCGGAAAGTATGTAACAGGCAGAAGGAAGCGTTTCCCACCCCATAAAGTATTTATATTCTTGATCAGGATCACTAGCCGAGTCGATCTAGCCATGTCCGTCTGTCCGGATGAATGCTGAGATCTCGGAAACTATTACTATGTTTATGCGATGCCAAATTCACGCTTTCATTTCGCGATTTCAGCCGATTCGTGTGTGCATAAAGGCCATTTCGCGAATTCGGCAACACACGAAAGTTGACTATGAATTCAACCTCAAAGCGTGAAATGGTGACAATTAAGTTCCGGTAACTCTATACAATTATCGGAGTTGCCAGATCGATATAAATATATAAATACACCTTACATTTAACAAATTATTTTTTCATTCAGTGCCAATAAAAACTCATTTTCATCTTTTATTTTGACGGTAGAAAAATGTTATACTGTCTTGCACACACTTTATCTTTAATACTAGCAAGATTAGTTCATGCGAATCGAAAAAAAATAATCGGTTTAATAATCGCTAACGCCTTTTTCCACCGGTCCGGCACCTCTGTCAGCTGAAATTGATAAAATTCATGAATTCGGCCGTGTCGCATAAACATGAACAAATTTTATTTCACGCTTTTAAAAAATCATGAATCCTTCAGCATAAACATGGTATATAAGAGCTAGGCTATTGATATTCGGCGTGTAGGTTCCTGAGCTTCTTACGCAGCGCAAGTTTGTTTCAGCAGCGGGCCACGCCCACTCTAACGCCCACAAACCGCCAAAAACTGTGGCTTCTACAGTTCCGATGCTAGAATAAAAATTTTAGCTGAAATGTATTGTTCCTATCAATACCCACCGATTGACCCAAAAAAAAAGTTTGACACGCCCACTTTAACGCCCAAAAACCGTCCAAACCTGTGAAGCCCACCATTTTCATGCTAGATAAAAAATTATAACTGAAATGTGTTGGTCTAGTCAATACCTATAGATTGACCCCCAAATAAAATTTTCCACGCCCACTCTAACGCCTATAACGCTTAAATCTGTCTACCGCCGGTAGGTGGCGCATTTTAATCTCGCTTTGCTGCTTGCATATCTCCATTTCCCTTTGGTCCCTTTAGCTGAGTAACGGGTATCTGATAGTCGGGGTACTCAACTATAGCGTTCTTCCTTGTTTTTGTATATGTATGTACAAATTACTTTCGTCACTGGTAATATTTAAAAAAAAAAGTTTTATTATTTTATTAAACTTGGTGTTAAATCCTTTTTTCTTCTTCACTTTTACAAGACTTATTTATTATTTTCGAACCGATCGCGGTCTTGGACAAAATAGCACTCAATCTTAATTCTAAAAAACTCTCCAATGAACCTCGGCCAGAAGCTTTCCTTTTCTTAAGCTTCCAGAACTTTAATTTTTGTTTAAAATAAAAGCTTATGCTGAAACTGTCGCATCTCGTTGTGAAATGAAATTATGCTGACCGATGCAATTTGATTGAAAATCGGAACGCAATATGTTCTGAACTTAGAACGCAATACTGTGGGCTTTGAACGGAAAAGTTTGGGCTTCGAACGGAAGCTTGTGTTTACTTTACGATTGGTTTATTTATCTTAGCAGGACGGTCAAGCGCGGCCCTCGAAGTAAATGGCAAAGGCAAAGGCAGAGTCTTTAAACAAAGGCAATGTCGCTGAAGGCAAGGGTAACATAGCTGAGATTGAATTCAAAAATTTGTTTATAAATTCCATAAGTAAAACCGTTTCACGGGTTGGATAACTCTCCCCCTTCTAAAATGGATCGTCCCGATTCAATATGAAATTCATTTAATTGATCTCTTAATTCTGTTAAAAAATTTTCTTGGTTAATAGATTTTTCTGGTTCTGGCCGTTGTTTTTTGGTTACAAATAATATGACATTTTTGTATTTTATAAAAAGTAAAAAAATAAAATATATAATGATTAAAATTAATAATATAAAGGTAAGTGATATTTAAGTATTATTAATTTTAATGAAAGGATTTAAAATGTTTATATTATCTAAAGAAAGTTCTGAGTTATTTGATAATATGTAATCGGATATTTCATAATTTTTGAAGTGGTTCGTAGTTAAGTAGTAAAGAATTTTGTTTTCCAAATTGGTATAAGAAATATTATTAATTTCGGTTGTACCATTAAATGTTATCAAAAATGAACCGTTTAAATGAGAGTTGTTCACAATATTGTTACCATTTATAAGAATGGCACCATCTTGTATGATGTCTATTTTTTTATTTTTCTCTCTTATTTTTTTACAAGTGGATTTCTCGCCATTTAATAAGCGGGTAAAACAAGTTTTTTCATTATTTAAAGTGCAATAATTATTAAAAAGTTCGTTCTTAAAGTTAGACATTTCATAAAACATATTTGCGCATTTTGCGACTTGATTGCTTAATACTAGTTTCCCATCGATTTGGGAAATCGCTCTAGCGTAATATATTTCGCATCTGTTTTTTATTATTGGGTATTTTATATAAATTATTACAAGTTCTTTATGCAGTGCGATTTTAAAAACAGAGATGTCCATTAAGTCAGCGATAATTACTGGTTTTTGTTCATGTTTTAATATTTCCATAATGTCATCATTGTTTAATATTTTGGTATTAAAAACGTCAATTTTTGCTAGTGTGATTGTGTCAATTAAATTTTGCAGATCAAATGTTAATAATCGTAAGCGATGTTTTCGCAGTGGTAAATCTTGATCAATAAAAACATTTTTAAAATCATCAGAAAGAGATTCTATTTCTTTAAACAGTTTGGAATTGATAATAAATTGCTTATTATTATTTTCAATTAATTCATCGATTTTATTCTGTATTTTAATAAAATCATC